CGTTTCGTCCTACTGTGGGGCCTCGTGAGACTCGAATCAAGAACCCACCGGTTTCGCGCGCGAGCACTTAACCATTAGATCACTGGGCTGGTTGGCATCCAACGGTGTTAATATCTAACTTCAACAAACCACGAAATTGAGCGACACACCCACCATTGTCATCAGCGAGTTACTATCTCACGACTGACCCGCTTGAACTCCACTGGTCACTGCTTCTCACTACAACTCCAGGATGTACATCTTCAAGCTAGTCACGAGTGAGTATATGTTGATTATTACGTAACTATTTGGATGAGACAATCTAATTTATGATGAAACGTTACATAAACTTTTATGGTGCAAATATACTGTGAATCTGATTAGTGTAAAACACCAAGTGCACCAGTTTTAAAAATGTGTTTTTATTGAGATCGTGAGCCGATTGATGCTAGACCACCATTGAAAACCCGAAAGCACCGAACGGCCGTTTCGTTCTATTGTGGGACTCCACAACAGTGTGCATCCACGATCCTGCTCGCAGGATTCGAACCCAGGCCTTTCAGTCTCTCGCGAGAGAACGCTTAACTTCTAGACCACTGAGTCGGTAACCAAAGGTGTTAATGCTTAACCAATCCGCGAAATTGAGACACCCTCTTCCATTGTACTGGGGTAGATACCTGTCTCTATGCGACACGAATTAGCTCCACTGGTCACGGAGTGTTTATCCAGTTGACAATAAACAAGTACCGAGAAAAATTTTTACTAACACTAATATCTTTATAGACCTGCTAACATTGATGGATGTGTGGTGATAAATAATTCCTTAAAATAAGTAGACAAGAAAACCTGATGGTTATGAGTTTGATCATTAGCGGATTCGTATATGTGTATCAATGAGGAGTTCCATATTAAGATTAAGTAGTTGTCTAATGTTTTTTTATATTTCAATAGTTCTTTACATGAAGTAAGTCTACAATTTTGAGTTGTTTAATCTATCAATCCTTATAATTCTCTAAACTAATATATACATTCATTTTTCAACTCTCATTACTTAATTTTCATAGACCCAGAATTTACGCTTATGGGTTTCTTTAGTCCTTATTAGGTAGAAGACATTCTTTAGAAAGTTTTGCCTGATCTAGATATCGTGCTTACTGATACTCTTCAACAATGTATATGAACGATATGAATGGAAAAGATGTTCTTCGTGGAACTCGGACCAGCGATATTCGATTTCGCAGTCGGATATGTTAACATTGAGATATTCAGGTTGAGACTGATCTGATGTAGAAATGATTTAATCACGGTAAGTTGAGTAGTGAGCAATTGCATATTTTCCTACCCTTTAGCGCTGATCAGAATTTTGTCCACTACTTCATATATAAATTTCTTAATGAATATTAATGTTTGGCAACCAACATATACTGATGTTCAAAAAATTACTTCATCCATTCTAGGGGAAAATAAGGTACTGAACAAAACTATGAATTATTTAACAGTGCAAACATGGGATCACGAAGACTATAGAGTTGATATTATCGTTATATCGGACAGGAATAACTGGAAATAATCGAACTTTAAAAACTATCCTATGAAGAATTATCACATGTAATTGGATTGTATATTTGTTAAATATATTTTTATACGTCTCGTATAATAGGCTTTCATTAACTGTTGTAATGAATTTTACTGTTTCTAAATGATCAAGAATTAATCATGAACGCATAGCTCAGTTTTGCATCATATATAACCCTATTTATGTACACAATGTAGTTTCTTATTTGCTATGTGTTATGGTCAAGTAATTGAGTTACTGTGTTTTTTTGTCTAAATTGATGATTCCTTTATACTTGGTGTTATAACTTGTGGCCTAGGTCCCCTGCTAATGTATAACGTAGCGATACTACCAATTAGAGAGCAGTGAATTATCGATCAGATCAGTGACGTATAACACTGTGCGAGAAGTCTAGAGTACTTTTCGGTCCTGCTTCCTGATGAGCCCAACCAGTTAAGCCCAAAAATCTAATCTTAGCCTCTGCGATATAAAACATTTATTTCAAGCAAACTGGGTTTATATACAAATCAAACAGACTACATCGTACCATAAAATAGGAAACAGCATTTGTACAAGATTTAGCCAAATGTGGCTGTGAATGTGGAAGATAGAAATTGATAGACAGGGCATAACTCAAGAATAGTTCATAAGTCAAAATAAAGCTCATAATAAGATGAACTTGAATATGAATAGTTTAGTTATTTAACAATTATACGATAAAAATATACGCATAGTCATCATTTATTATGCTTATCGGAACATAATACTTGGTTACTGCTTGATTTCGAATTCCAAATACAATATGTTAGTTCGTGCTCATCTAATACTTCTTAGTTAAATTGCGTTATTTCTGAAATTCTTAGTTTGTACTATAATTCAAATACTCCTAATTATCACAGTTACGTAAACCATGAGTTTTTTGAATGAGGAAGATAATATAATAACATAAGATAAATTTGACTGTTTTTGTGTTCTGATTGACCACAGTGTAAATAACGAGCTACGTTGCTTAATAGGGTGAGAATTTTCTGGTCATTGTGTTATTGGCTAAAGAGATATATCTATGATCAATTGACCTGATTAAGAAACCAATGTAAAAGGTCTCAAATCTATATCAATTAACACCTCTCTATTTTCACCAATTTATCACTTCTCTACTTAAAATACTATTTTTTTTTTTCGTTTTCTGATAAAAATTTTGACATCTTAATGAAATTCCTGACGGTAATTTTCTTCCAGTTGCATCCCTCTCTATTCAATAAATTGGAATTGACACATCATCGTGAAACTCATCAAGTCTTAGATTGTTACATCTATGACAACAATCAATTATCTGTTATACACGACATTCGCGAAACACTTAAACAATGTATATCATTTATATTGTTGTACAGAAGTGATCAAAGATAAAATAATGATGTGGTAACACCCTTACTTATAAGAACATTTTAAACGCCCTTATATATTTAAAAACAATTTGTAGCTGAATGAAATCTACCCTGGTAAATATTGACTTTCATGTACTATAAATGTTACAAGTAATGTGTTTTCCTTTAGTTGTTTTCATGTCCAAATTTGTCTGGTTTAACCTCTTCTATTTCTTACATAAATTCCTGGTACAAGGTCAATGTTTGATCGGATAGCAGTTCGAAATGTATTAAGTTAATATCATCACATGATTTTGATAAACTTTGTCTCATCATTATAAACACACACTCACTTGTACTTCAATGTTTGAGGAAGTGGATCTTGCTGAAATAGTGATTTGAATAAATTCAAATCTTGGGGTGAATTTTGTTTGAGGCTTTGAAAATCTTCTAACATGAATGGGCATGATAAATGACTTTAGTGCAAAATGTATTTGTTGAATCGGCTTCCGAGAACTGCAACGGAGCCTGTAGAGGCTCTAAAGGAGCCGAAGAGTTACCATCCAATCAAAACATGATGGAGCTTTCTAGAATATCAGCCTGGCATGCTACTATTGGACAGTAGCATAATATGTGTCTTTGCGGATTAGCCGGATTATAATGTTGATTTAAAAAATGTTAATATCTATAAATATCCGTGAAGTTCTATACATTTCGATTCTTACCAAATAAACACTTCTCCAGCCTTTTTTCTGTCTTCTGATTTGCGACGGTGAAGTTCCAACGTTCAAGTGTCGTAGTCGTAAACCATATTCTGCATTAATCAAGTAGCGAACTTAACAGTATTATATCAAACAATTTGTTGGCAGTAAAGATATTGAACTACTTTTCAAATATTTTTCGGAGAAATATCATAAAACTCTTGAAGAATTCAACATAAACTGAACATCTTTCTCTCAAGATAGAACCTCTTAAACAACTTCTATTGGTTACTTGTTGTGATTAAGTGATTTTATTGTTTGTGGACATGATGTACTGGATGGTTTATGATATTTTCCTCTATTACACGTATATGACAACTACAGGCAATCACATACAATGAGTCCAAAGTAGAAATCAATGACAGGAAGGAAAACCACATATTTAATAATCCGTAGGCTGTAGTTGTTTGCCCAAGTTCAACGACTAATCATACTTTATTTTCACTACCACACAGGACTGATTGTGCTAAGTTTCTATTATATCCCGATAAGAATAATGAATGGTAACTGTTGGAATCTATTTTTGGACTAATACTATACATATATTTTTAATTGTATGATTGTTAAGTAACTAAACTACGCATATTCATGTTTTTCTTATTGTAAGCTTTACTTTGACCCATAGACTATTATTATACAATTTACCATTCTTGAGTTATACCCAGTTTACTAACTACAGTCTCCCAAGTTCACAGCCACTCTTGGTTAGATCTTGTTTATTTATTTATTTATTTTAACACATAAGTATAGGTACAGGGAGGCACCAAATACATATGCGCCACACAAATCTCAATTGATTTGTGTGAGGGCTGTGATACTGCTCGGGTGCCCAAACCGAAACAGGTGGTTTTCTTAGGGGGCCACACCCCGAGCCTTTGACCTGAACGTCTGACCCACAAGGCAGTGGAGCATCGTAAGGAGATGCAGTCCCATGGTAGCCGGTGACCAACGATTGGTTCATACGCCATTTTTTCCCGCAGGATACTGGAGCCCATGTGCATCATTGGTTTGGGGTCCGGTTAAAGCGCTGCACATTCGCTTTTCGTCCTCTCATTTTTGTAAACAACACCCCCGCCACGAGAAGGCAGTGAGTAGGACTTCCCTGACAGAGGCTATATACGCATGGCCATGTGAGAGCATTTCGAGAGGGAGAGCGGACTCTCCCCACTCTCGGCCGTACCAGGGCATTTGGGGGCGGTTAGATCTTGTACATATGTTATTTTCTATTTTATGGTACAATGTGGTCTGTTTGCTTTGTACATAAACTCAGTATGCTTGAAATACACTATTCATATTGCGGAAACTGAGATTGATGTTTTGGACTCAACAGGCAGGAATGTTGTACATATCACATTTATTTAATTGACCAATAAGCATATTCATAAATAAACTACTAAACCTAGAAGATGGGGTGTTTCAAAGTTACACAGTAAGTAAACAAATATGAGAATAAGACAAAATATGGGCAAGTAGATCCTTCACTAATTCATATTTCAGAACAGATTTTGGTATTATTTAGATCACCTTAACTACACATATATACATGAGAAATATAAGTACTAACAGATTATTAATAACACTTCCTACATTGTTCTTTGCCCTTCCTAATCTAGAAATGTCGGGAAACAGCTCAAAGAATTGGCTAGTATATATATATATATATATATATATATATATATACCATACATCATTGGTGATTGCTTGTTAACCGATAGATAAATGGCTAATATAACTAGTTATTAAACCATAATACAGTTCTATCAAAGTTATAACGTGCCAAAACAATAATGGTAATAATTAAAAAAATACATATATATATGAAAAAATCAAATTAATAAAAATGGATGATTCAATTTCATGTCATCATCTGTCATTTACATATGAGCGCATAAATCTATTCCATATATACATTTGATTAGTTACTATAGAAAGATATTATGAATGTGTTTCTGATATCTATATTTATAATTGATCATCGATCTTTTTCATTGAACAAATCATGTTTACTCCAGAATAAAGCTTCTGATTTATCAAGGAATAAATTAGCTTCAGAAATATCTGTATGTATTTGTTTAATTAAATCCGCTAAAGTTATCGACAACAACAACAACAACAACAACAAAAAGTAAAAGGAATAAAACGATTAGCAAGAAAGAAAATATTCAGTATTATGTAAGTAGTTAACATTTTAACAAAACAATCAAAAAGAAAAAAACATTACAAAATGCATACAGTTCATCTCGTTGATAATATCTCATTTGTCAAATATAAGTTTTATGTGTTTATTATTATTATTATTATTATTATTATTATTATTATTATTATTATCTAAACTCATAAACATTGGTACAAGGAGGCACCAAATAGATATAAGCCACATAAATCATTCGATTTGTATGAGGGCTGGGGTACTGTTCGGGTGCCCAGACAGAAGCTGGTAGTTTTCTTAGGAGGCCACATCCGGAACTCTCGACCTTAAGGTCTGATCCACAAGGCAGTGGAACAACGTAAGGAGATGCAGTCCCATGATAGCCAGTAACCAATAATTGATCCATATACCATTTGTTTCCTCAGGATACTAGAGCCCATGTACACCAATGGTTTGGAATCACGGTTTTCCAACTCTCCTACTTGGACCCTGCATACACACCAATCCGGTGAAAGAGCCGGATATTCGCTCCTCGTCTTCTCAATTTCGCAAACAACGCTGCCGCCACGAGAAGGCAGTGGGTAGAACTGCCCTGGTATATGCTATATATGCGTGGCCATGTGAGAGCATTTCGAGAGGAAGAGTGGGCTCCCCACACTCTCGGACGTACCAGAGCATGTGGGGGCTTTATGTATTTATCACATATACGACGACTAATAATGTCACTAATTAGCCAAAATCGAAGTATATATGATTCGAGAAAATAATTCAATTATTAAAAGCCGAATACTTTAAACGTTTATATGATAAAAATGATGGTTTAGTTGAGAACGATAAATGTTATTCTTAAGTTACATTTTTTAAAAATTCTTAATGATACTGTGTTTCGAAAATACAAAAGTCGAAACAGACTACATAGACGGGCACAGTAGTTTCATTTTATTGATCAATGATAACAGAACTATAATGAATTCTAAGATCACTTAGAACTGAATTTTTTACAAACCAACCAACAAATATTTACCATCAGATCCTTTCTGTTTCAACAAAGAAATGTGCTTACAGATTATGTTGTGTCGATAATACCCTACTCTTATATTAAGAAATTTTTCCAGAAAATTTTCAATCCATTTAAGTCATACAACAAAATCTGTCAACTCTGTATAACTTGAAAATTTACTAGTACAATCAACAGTAGCAGCAGTTTCCATCTACTGGAATAAACACATCGATTCTACGAATGTCTAAATAATTCAAATCTGCTTCCTTAACTACGAAGACGAGCAGCTGAAGCATTCCATGGTATAATACACCACACTGCTCACAATAAAACGTATCACTTTATACATTTATAAACCAAAACTTATAGCGACGATAAGTTACTATGAAGTGAATAACCTAGAGAACATAATGTCATATTCAACAATCCAAGTTCTCAACCATCAGCAATAGGATCATAAGCTCAAATCAAAGTACAAACACTTGAATAACTCGAGTGTTCTTTCAGTACGTGTTGGGGTATTCAGGAAATACCCCAGAAATTATGTAGTGCTATTCCTGAATGAGAAATGTTGTCATTTCCCCATTGGTCAATATTTATTTGTGTCATTTCCTGGAGGTCAAATCTTCTACAAATGTTACTTTCTATTTTATGGTACGATGTAGTCTGTTTGTTTGGTATATAAACAGAGTATGTTTGGAATATAATGATTCATATCACTGAGGCTGAGACTTGCATTCTGGACGCAACTGGTTGGGCTAGACAGGGAAGCAGGGCCAATCAGAACTCTAGGCTGTTATTACGTGTTTACGCGTCTTTGGGTCGATCACCAATTCGCTCTCTCCCAGTAATAACAGTACGATAAGTATTATTCATAGATTTATACACAAAAATGTACCTCGTTACTGAAATGCAAACTTAGCTGTATATAATCTCAGCTCAGGTAAGATAAATGTGAAATATAATCAACTTACCAATGCTTGGAAAGTCATATTCAGGTCTGAAGTACTTAACAGCAATTACTTCGATTGTGTCACCATAGAAATTCTCCTCAAATCTATGGAGTATATAGACTTCCTATAATAAATTAGACGATAATAAAAAGGATTCCCTGACCACAGAACGCTTGATATTTTTAAAATAAGGATTCCATCCAATACTCATCACCATTTTATACACTGGAGTGTTGCTCAACTTGGCCCATCCAAAGTAAATACCATTTTTAGTTGAGTCTGGTATTTCACTAACAATGGATTCTTCAAGATTTGCTACATAGGCCGCCAATAAAGCAAGAAGCGCTGATATGAAACAAACCTGTTGGAATTCCAAGCTGTTTTGATCCTCTCCCAAAACCATGAACGACTTTACCAGATGCATAAAACAATGCTCCAGACGTCAAATTAACAAACATCTCTACAAAAAAGGACGTTGAAGGCATACACTGAAATGACCATAAATGAGAGAACAGATATAAGACATTCAGACATAAAAGGAGTAAGACTTGGAACAAATTCTCATCTATTCTAAATTAGCACAATTCACCAAAACATATACTGACCATGAAGCTTTGCATAATAATACCGTTAAAAGGTGATTTCAAATGCAATACAACTTCGGCTTTTTTTTATCACAACGGTGGTTGGTGGGATTTAGGTTAGTCTCAACTCATCCCATTTCCTGCTCATTTTTACCAGTTTGCTGTAAATACGACAAATAATAGTTTAATAAAGCTTATCGCTCCTGAAGTTGGAATAAATTTCACGAAATCGGTGTATCGTTGGATCTATTTTCATAGTTTAGCGGTTCTTGCCTAATTACAGATACAGAATGATTTTGGAATGAAAAGTTATATTTTGTTATATTGTATTGTCATTAAAACATAACATAGCCAATAAATTGAAGGTTCGAACAATGTCCCTCCTAATTTGGTTTAGACATGAAGCTAATATCAGCATCTCTTAAGTACTAACCAAATTTTAGAACCAAGTACATTAATTTTGTGCTTGGTAAATAAGTTCCCACATGCAAACAACTCTTTAAAGGCACTTACAGTCAAATACTAGTCATCTGCGCATGTCACTCATCAAAAATCATAGCTTTAAATTGATGTAGCGAACGGATGAGAGTCGTGTGATAAACGGGAAAATAATTTTACACCACAACATTATCCCACTGCAAAGATAAGCATGAGATCCTCACATGCTCCATCATTATGATTTCTATATTTGCAGCTCATAAGCAAATTTGGACATAAACTAAAATCATTGGAAAAATAGGCGACGAAATCAACGATTCATGTATCGAGAAGTGACGAGGTTGTGTAAATCCTATATGAATATAAACAAATATACTTTTATGCATTTAACTTACCTTTTGCTTAATATCTAGTTAAGTGATGTTAGCCCACTTAACAAAATTGCTGAAAAGGAATACACGGACAACTTACTATCTATGGGTGCAGAATGCAACTGTGTCTACTAACAAACATAAATCCTCGTAGTTAACACTGCATATTTATAGATTTATGACAAATTATTACTCAAAATTAGAATGAGGATGTAACGGTTTTAAAACCTTATGACAGCACTTCTGGCTGCAATTAATGAGGTATCCCAGGCTATGATATCGTTGATTGCTGCTAGTTACTATCATCACTAATTGTAAGCGAATGCTACTTGGGTGCTGAGCTGTTAGCTCACTTGTTCTCTAATTCTTCTATCCATCTTTCCTTATACATACGTCTCTCCACATCCCTGTAGAACCTAAAGCACCGTTGCGCTAGGCACGAAAAGATACAAGTAAGGTTTTAAATGTGTTGGGTAGTTTCTCATGATTAAAAGTGATCATTATTATTCAAAAGTTCCTGAAGTATATCAAAGACGTAATTTATGCGGTCAATAAGTCTTAGTAATGCGTATATCTACTGTACAATCTGTAAGGACCTAATTGTAATTAGACCTACATCTCTAGTATACCAGAGATTTACGCTGCAATTAGGGCAGAAAACATATGGTCTGGTAATTATTAGGTTCTAGCATTGTTTGAAGGTTCCAAAAAAGAGTTGAAACAGTTTCCATTTTTGTTGAGAACTTAGTTCTCATCTACATATATGTAGATTCAGTTTGTCTATTAAAACAAATCCTTTCGATAGGCAAATATCTAGTGTGCTTCTAAATCGAAATACATTATTATCGATGAGGTAACTAGGGCAAACGCAAATCAATATTGATTAAAAAGTAGTCATCGCACTTGTAGTTTAAAGGCAAAAATCTACATGAGTGTCGGAAAAGAGTGGTGGAATAATATAAAATTGACGAACAGGTAGTGGTTTGTCCGATCCTAAGGTTCCAAAGGATAAATTCATTTATCCCTTTTCGCATGCGAAAAATATGCTTACACCAATCTTAAGTGGAAATGTAGTACGTTTTGATAAAACAGGAACAAATACTGCCACTATATAATGTGCGTTATAACGTCAAATGAATGTAAAAAACCGCGATTTCGATGTCTACAAATAAACGTGTAAATTCTCACCTGGTGTTTGATTGGACGACAGTAATTATCGTGATCTCAAGGACATCAATACGCGCTCAAAGGTGACACGCTTTAATAGTGTAACCAAATACAAATGCCTTTAACAATTAGGGCAATTTACTACTATCTTCAGTGAACGTGAGTCACTCGGTGATAACTTAATAAATGAAACTGTGATTGAAATGGTGAAAGAAATCTTATTCTTAAGGATTTTCAAATCGTAAAAGTTCTGAGCGAAACGATCCCAAACCACTCTGGGTGGTAAGGGATAGTTCTCCATAGATTTAAAGGTTTGCTACACAGGTGCTGGCAGCCCACCGAATAAAATGGCGGAGCTCAAGACATTAGTGGATAGAGAAAAACCCGGTATTATTGCTGCACCAGAAACTTTGTTAACGTAAGAACTATTAGGTAATGAAATTCGCTTGATGGGTTATTTATCCGATAGAGCTGATAGATTAAACCGTAGGGGAGTTGGAGTTATCTTGTGCACGCAAATTACCCTGACCATACGAGCAGTTGAGACAGTGGCACTTGATTTAGTGACATGTGAAATGTCAGCGGCAAGATATCGAATTAGTTGTAGCATATAGCAGTCCAGAAAGTGTGGTAGATGATTTCCTCCTAAGCAAACTCAAGTCCTGGTGTTATAAGGGTAAAAGCTCTATAGTAGCTGACTTTAATGCACCGTATATAAACTGGGAAACGTAGAAGTACGGTCATCGACAAGATCATTCAAATGCAAACGGTTGGAAACCTCGAATGCATTTCAACACATTAGAAATTCCACAACATATGACTTACGAAGCTTCTCGTCTCTCTTAGACTTAGTATTTACACACGGTGGTGATGTCGGTGAAATAACTTTTTAGCACCTCTAGGGAGAAATGATCATGCAGTCATCTTATTCAATTTCATGGCTTTTGAACGGTGGAGCCGGACCATCCTAACATGTGGAATGCAGCATCGTCCGAGAACTGGGAAATCGACTCAAGGGCTTCAGTAGTAAAGGCATGAACACATTTCATGCAGTTTTACAATTGGGTAACGCGACCATATGTGCCCCGAGCAATCCCAAAGAAGAAAAGAAGCACCGCCACCCCTGAATAGGCTGAGGCATTCGACGTTTGCTAAGACAAAAGAAGGGGTTGTAGATCAACAGCGTCGATGATCTATGTCGAATGATTGGAGGCCTACTTGAGTTAGACGGGAACGGTGCGACGAAGCAACTAACGTCGAAATCACACCTCATGTCAAACACCTTACGTGGACTACCCCATTGACGTGTCAAGGTATTATAGATGCTTTGAAGACTGTACAACACAGAGGACGTTATTACAGAAATATATTGATTAACGTAGATATAAGCTAAAGTAAGATCACCACCGTATGGGCCAGTCCATGTCGTCCATTTAACTGATACGCGTTGGTTTTCCTTGACCTTGACGATGATCAATGATTTGTTTCATATTCAATGCCTAGGGCTCAGTGAAATTTCATTGTCCCTACAAGGTGTTGAAATAACACTATCAGCCTTGGTACAGCAGGTACTGTGAAACGCTACAGGTCGGCAAGAAACAAGTGTACAATTAAAATCCAGGAAACTCGAAGAAAATATGAAATGTAATTGGCACAATCCGCACTCAAGCAGCCTAAGAGATTATTCTCGTGCATAAATTACGAAACAAGGATGAAGCATTGGATTCGCATCTTTATTACGGAAGGCAGTGGATCTGAAATGGTAGAGGAAGATCAGGAAAAAGCAGAGGCTATGGCTATCTGTTACGGGGCAGTATTTACTCAGGAACCTCCTCTAGACAAAGAACCAAAACCGAATACAGAGTCAAAAAACCGCCTGCTCACCGTTAACTTTGGTCGATATGATTTACTTAAGGCTCTTAGAACCTTAGACATGGAAAAGTCAACAGTGCCAGATGAACTTGTAGTGACCTAATTTTGTCAACAGAATGCGATTGGTTCAATGAAAACAATTATTATTAAGACCAATTGTACCAGTGATTGTTTTACTGTGCTCGTTTGTTTAACAATGTTAATGACAGCCATTACACACTCTCTCCCGTTGACTTCGAACTTGTACGAATTCGGTTACGCTTAGTAGCCACGCTTGTACTTCTTTGGCACGATCTCGGTATTCTTTCGATACCTCGAGGTTGCCAGCAAATACATCTCGACTACAGCCATCATCTGCCTTCTGATATTGACTTACGGGCATCTTATTGGTTAACTGGCACGTAGTCTTCTTGTAGCGGGGTTCATAGTCAAGCGCAACTCGACACCACGCAACAAACTGCACCGCAAAGTCGTAAGACAAATTGCACAATACATTGCAGCCTCACTGACTCTGGTATTCAATATGTCTTTTGATCAAGGTATGTTACCTATGGACCGGAAGGATTCAGTCGACACTCCCATAAATGAAACAGGACGAAGACAATTTCCATCGAACCTTCGACCTGTCAGCCCCACCAGTGTTTCAGTTAAAATATTGCAAAGAATAGTAAAAAAGACCTCAATGACATTTGTGGAAATCAACAACCTGTTAAAAAGCGAACAACACGGTTTTAGAAAGGGTTTATTTTGTACAAAAAACCTTCTTATAGCAAGGGAATATTGGATAAATGCGCCAGACAACGGAAGATCAGTGGATTTTGTCTACATAAACTTCAGTAAGGAAGTTGACAAGGTGCCAACAAATAAACTGCTATTAAAGTTAGAAAGCTTTGGTATTGCCGGACCTCTTTTAAAATGGCTCAAGGATTTACTAGTAGGTCATAGACAGAAATCGAGAGTAAACTCGAAGTGCTCTACGTGGAGACTACTTCTTCGTGGAGTACCTCAATGTTCCGCCCTAGGTCCTTAACTTTTTACATTTTCTCCCAACTATAGTTGAGTCCCCAGTGTTATTGCACGCTGGTGATGTAAAAATCTGGCGAGAAATAACGGGAGATGCGGATGCCTGCATAATTCAGGCAGACTTAAAGATTGTGATTTACTGGTCTAAGGTGTGGCTGATGCCTACAAACGCAGCAAAGTGTGTCTACGTGCACTCTGGGTAGATAAGTACAGCATAGGGGAAGTGTCTGTACCCGTGGTCTGGTCTTACAAGATTTTTGGGGTGACAGTAAGTCATGATCTTAAGATGACGGCACATTGCCAGGAGGTTGCAGCTAAGGGGTTTAGAACTCTATGGGCTTTAAAACGGACATTCATTAAGTTAGATACTACCATGTTCACCACAGTATACACAACCCTGGTGAGAACTAAGCTTGAAAAGTGTGTTCGGGCCGCAAGCCCCTGTTTAAAAGGTGACTCGGATATCGTAGAAAAAGTACAGAGGGTAGCTACTCGTGCAATCCCAGAACTCCGGCTGTTTACCATATAAAGAGAGGCTGAAAAAGCTAGACCACTTTTCTCTGTCCTATCGCAGACTAAGTAGGGATCTAATTTTGATGTACAGAATACTGAGAAACGATTTTGAATCTAACGTATTCCCTCTTTTTCTTTCCACTAGATCGGGACATCTCAGAGGACATAGCAGGCGAGTAGAAAATCCAAAAACGAACATACAGGTTTTCACACCGAGTTATCAATGCTTGGAACCTATTACCCGAGTCAGTGGTGTCCACGCCCTCAAATGACCCATTCAAGAGAAGACTGGACACTCACAGACGCATACTATAAAAAAATAACATAGGCCGTAGGCCTTCTGTTCTTACTACTACTACTACTACACATACTCGAGCCTTTATCTGAGATATCGGAGCATTTTACTCCTGTTTTACAAAGACAACTAAGCGCACATATGGAATATAATATGCCGACGATCCATAAAACTGTATGGAATTCTCTCAATCCATCCTGTTACACGCAGACTACAGTTAAAGATGAACAGTTATTATGAATTTGCAGTTACGTCCAGTGAAGTATTCGAAAGAGTGAATACAGAAGCTTGTAAGTTGGCTTAATCATGAGTCAGGTGATCATGTAGTTATATGTCCAAGAAATAAGTGTCTCTCGTCCTGTCCAGTTGGACAATTGGTAACACCATTTTTGCTATTTATAGTTCTGTCTACTTGATTTCTAGTCAACAATATGTAAAGACCATCTTTTTTACCAGTTAATGACTTAAAAATCTTAAAGTATATTATTAATGCCTCAGAGATTTTAAAGGTTGCTAGAAGGACGTTTTCGATTGTCAACGTGGGCACTAGTTTGAAATTTGAATACGATTGTAAGTTCTCCTGCAGTTTTGTACTTCGTTATGGCTACTATATTTCTGATTTATCTTACTTCATATTCTCCATTAAGGTCCTCTTTTTAAAACATTCATCGCTCTGGTTTCTGTCAGTCACTTCAAGTGCCTTAAAAATCTTGCATTCACGATCAAGTAATTTACCAATTATCATTGATTGATATTTAGCTTGGAGGGATAATATGAACTATCAGATGTTCTTATCCTGGTTACTTACTACTCTGAAATGTGATTGTTGTTAATTG